TTTTCGGAACCTAAAAAAATTTAAATTTCGCTTAAAGTGGATGGCCACAGGTATTCTAAGCCATTTTGTGAAGTTTTGAAATTTTATTTTTTATTTTTTATTTTTTTCGGCACCTAAAAAAATAAAATTTCGCTCAAAGTGGGTGGCCGCAGGTATTTTAAGCCATTCTGTAAAGTTTTGAAATTTTTACTTTTTTGCTTATTTTTATTTTTTTTGGCATATAAAAAAATGTACATTTCACTCAAAGTGGGTGGCCACAGGTATTTTAAGCTATTCTATGAAGTTTTGAAATTTTTTTATTTTTTTTTATTTTTTTCGTCACCTAAAAAAATTAAAATTTCACTCAAAGTGGATGGCCACAAGTATTCTAAGCCATTCTGTGAAGTTTTGAAATTTTTGATTTTTTGATTTTTTTCGGCACCTAAAAAAATAAAATTTCGCTCAAATTGGGTGGCCACAGGTATTCTAAGATATTCTGTGAAGTTTTTAAATTTTAGAATTTTTTATTTTTTTTTGGCAACTAAAAAAATTAAATTTTACTCAAAGTGGGTGGCCATAGGTTTTCTAAGCCATTTTGTGAAATTTTTTATTTTTTATTTTTTTTTATTTTTTTCGGTAACTAAAAAAATTTAAATTTCACTGAAAGTGGGTAGCCACAGATTCTAAACCATTCTGTTAAGTTTTGAAATTTTTGATTTTTTGCTTTTTTTTCTCACCTCAAAGATCGTGACTTCCATATGAATATATGTGTTGAAGAAAATGAATTCCTCAGAAATGGTTCTCACTTTTGTTCCAGAAATGAAAAACCAACTTTTTTTTGGTTCTCATTTCTGGTTTTAGAATCAGTTTTTCAAGCAAACTTGTCCCGGAAATAGAAAAATGAAATTGCATTACCAAACGGGTTTCTGGTCCAAAACTGATTCTGGGAACAAAAAACCAGTTCTGGACAGAACCAGAATGGTTTTCATGCAGCACCTAAGGGTGCGCATGGAATGCATTCCGGAACAGAATGGCGTTTGTTAAAAAATTTCCGGAAAGCATTCTGGAGCAATTTTTGCATTCTGAAATAAAAATACGTTTGTTAAAAATACTTGATTCCAGAATGCATTCTTGATTCCGGAATGCATTTTTGATTCCAGAATGAGTTTTTGGCAAAAAAAAGAGAAGCTTCTTTTTATAGCTTCTTGATTCCGGAATGCATTCTCCCTATTTTCTCATAATTTTTTTTTCAGAAAATGCATAAAAATTGAAAAATTCTAGAAAAAATCATAAAAATTTCCAGAAAATAAAAAAAAGTCAGATTTCGGGAAAATATGAAATTTAGTGAATTTTTTTTTAAAAAATCAAAAAAAATCAAAAATTTCAAAACTTCACAGAATAGCTTAAAATGCCTATGGCCACCCACTTTATGTGAAATTTAAATTTTTTGAGGTGCCCAAAAAAAAGAAAAATAATAATAAAATAAAAATTTTCAAAACTTCACAAAATGGCTTAAAATACCTGTGGCCACCCACTTTGAGTGAAATTTAAATTTTTTGAGGTGCCCAAAAAAAATAAAAAATTTCAAAACTTCACAGAATGGCTTAAAATACCTGTGGTCACCCACTTTGAGTGAAATTTAAATTTTTTGAGGTGCCCAAAAAAAATAAAAAATAAAAAAATTCAAAACTTCACAAAATGGCTTAGAATACCTGTGGCCACCCAATTTGAGTGAAATTTAAATTTTTTTAGGTGCCCAAAAAAATTTTAAAACTTTACAGAATGACTTATAATACCTGTGGCCACCTACTTTGAGTAAAATTAAAATTTTTTTAGGTGCAAAAGAAAATCAACAAATCAAAAACAGATTGCCCAAATCAATTTCTTCGAAATGAATTATCATGTTTTACCAAACAGATTTCTCCTCCAGAAATCAATTTCTGGCAAGAATTTGATTTCTGGAGCAGAATGGTTACCATTCGCACCTAAAACTAAAATCTGATAATAACCCTGTTCTTGTTTTCATCACCTTGTACTAATCCACACCCCGAGATTTCCTTCTTCACCGTGGTTAGAAAGACACTGCCCGCCAAAATTCATTAAACGCCACAGGTTGTTCGGTTGACCCACCATGTGTGTTTCTCCATCTCAATAGTAAATGTGATTGGGTGTCAAGCGAGTGACGGACGAAACACGATCGAACGCGACAATCGTAGATTTCGGATCCTTTCGTTTCCCGTATTGTTTTCACGGGGCAGTTCATATCCATCCGACAGCGACTCGAAGGCGCTTTTGGTTTCGCCAATTCCGATGAGGATCGAAACTCACCTGCTTCCACGTTGTTAAAGGTATTGAATCTCCTCTCTTAATAGCTAGACCTCCTTCGAACTCCCGATTCATTCGCGAACCTCTCCACTCCATCACGAAAGGTATCGGAGGACACCTCGGCGATAGCAGAGGCGACGGCGCACCAACGACCGGAGAATATCACGTCCGAAACACAGATCGAAGTACGTGTTTCATGTCCCAAACACAGATTCACAGAGCACGGGGGGAGTCGAGCTCGAGAGTACTAAAATTCCCATTGCGATGGCTTTGATTTCGGGCCACACGTACATTCGACCGCCTCCTTGCAAATACCATAGTAAATTTATGGGACAAAGGAGATTCACGTGATGCCATGCGAGTCCCCTCGACCACAGTGAAAAGAGGAAGGAAGCGAGATCAAGAGAGGTCCGCTGCACATTTCTGTCAGCCTGGGCCAACAAGTTGGATGAGGAACGCCATCATTACGATCGTCGAATGTGATGCCCCTACCGTCCACGGTGCGGATAAGATCAATGTTAGGACACATTAGATGTTTAGAAGAATCTGCATAAACTTTCACATATAATCTTCTTTACATATTCTCTGTTATGCACTATTTTTATTATGGTAATCGGAATCAAAAGTCCCTATCCATCTTCCGTATAATATATTCTTAGGCTTCGATCTTAGGCAAGATTTTTAACTCGCGCGAGTGTTTTTTGATATCAAACCACACGTTGAATGTGACGCCCACCATCCAAAGGCCCCCCCCCCCCCCCCCCCCCACCACATGCGTCCCGATGCTATAAACACCGGTTTAATTTAGGTGGAGACGGTGCGGATAAGAATAAGATTAATGTTAGGACATAGTATCTTTCTCTTGCGAATTCGATCCACTAGATGATTTAAGAATTAAATAAATGGGCCATGCTATCGAATAAATGTTCTGTTTTTTTTTCCCACTGCCGTCAATTTATTAGACATAATATATAAAGCATAGCAATTGAATGAATAGGAGAAGTGAAGCCTGTTTACGTTAAAAGAAAGGGCTTCTAAAAAATTCAAGGAGTACCCAACATTTGGTCAATGTTCCCTAAAAGGGTATTGATAAACCTTAGGGAAAAAGTCTTTTTCCCAATAAGTCGGGCCGAAAAGAACACCATCGCTTAAAAAAAAAACGTGGAACATCTTTATCATAACAATAGCCAGATTACGTTCAACATGGAGACATGATCAATTTACGTTCAATTTATCATAGTATAGACACGTGCACTTCACTGTAGATCACATAAATACTTCATGTAAGCACTCATTTACTATGTTTGCGCCGATTACCGAAAGTCCATTTGGCCCCACAACATAATAATTAGGAAAAAAGCCTCGCTTAAATTGTTCACTGCGATACATTTACCTTTTTTTGTGACACCAATGATTTCAAATTTGTACATGTGTGACATATTTACTTTATGTCAATAAGCACAGTTAAAAATATCTTCACGTAGAAGGCAAATTATGTTGATAATGATACCTACGTGATGTGTTTGATGTCACAAGAAAAAGTTCAGGATAAATATATCGTAACTCGTATAATTTGAGATTTTTTATTTAGCACATAAGGTTTGGGATTAATGTGTTACGGTCGACAGGTCTTTTGAAGGTCCTTTTCCTAATAATTACAGGAGTCCCAGCTATATACATCTCTCCTATTTTCTTGCTGGGTGGGCGAGAAGAAGCAGACCTGGCTCTATGGTTTCACCATTAACATCAACTTCACAGTCCAACCAAGCTTCAATCTCCCTCTGTCTCTTCACTACAATAGAAAGCCCACCGGATCCTACGCTCTTTACACTGTCCAACGCATCAAATCCCACCAACCCTCTGACACGAAATCGAAGCTTAACGACACCCCATCTTACCTTTAGCCCATTAGAGAGTGGAAAAAGAAGGAAAAGACCAAGATAAGACATCCAAAGAGATTCAATTGGAAAGCAGGACCTATCCATCCAGTTAGGCAGGCGAAAGAGACAACGTTAGACCCATGTCGAGACTGGAGAGTTGTTGGGTGGGGGGTGCAGGAAATTCACCTGCCGAACCAAGGGGCGCTTTGGTCTCTCTCCAAGTACCAAAAGCTGCTTATACTTGCACAATGCCCCCCACAAAGGAATCAAAAGGGAAGAAAGCAACGACACTCGCGCACCCCTTTTCGACATTCTCGAACAAAAAGAATAGGAGAATAAGGTAAAGAAGTGACCGAAAATCATGGAGCATTCCGGTATATATAAACTAACGCCCCACTAACTAAAGCGATGGTTTCACTGTGCAGCAATAGTACTGCCCCCACCTCACAAAGGAACAAACTCGATACTTACGCCCACCGAATTTAGTCACCACCAAACTTCGTCCCTAAGCAAGAAGAGGAGCACTTAAAAGGGCGAAAACCCAAAATCAAATCGCTCGGAAAAGGCAAGTCAATATTTTCCGGGCGAAAACGACCCCCCGCTGACCGGACATTTCAGTCCATATGTTGGAAGGAACATGTTATTTAATGTTGGTAATAAAGAAACGAGGCAATCATATATATTTATTTACTAGTTATAACCTTGGAATGGACCGTCCCGGCCGGGAAAAAGATGGGCCCTTTGCCCCCTTTCCCCTTTACTTCTCTTGGCTCGAGGAACAACACAAAATTCAACAAAAGAAAGAAAAAGATGGGATTGATTTGATTAATTAATGAAAAAACAGAGGACTTTTTGTGATGCTTGGACTACACATTCGGACTCCAAAGGCTCCACAAACGGGAGTTCAGAATCCCCAACACGTCCGGCAGCACCTTCCTCGCCAAACCCTTGTGGCTGCTCGCCGCCGCCGCCGGAGGCCTCCTCGCCGCCGCGTCGTCGACCGACTGAGCCGCTACCTGAGCCGCCGGAGCCGCCGCCGGGAGCTGGCAGCTCAGCTCGGCCTCCTCGGGAAGCTTCTCCGTTCCAGCCCTCTCCGGAGAGGTCACCGGCGTAGCTAACACCTCAGTCTCTGGCGAAGCAGCGACCGTGTCCTCTGCCTCGGACGGCGTGGCAGTCTCGATCACCGGCATCTGGGGTTCGGGTTCCGGCTCGGGTTTGCCCGAGGCGGCCCCACGGGCCATCCTGCTGTCTCGCTCGCGTCGCTTGGCCTTGCCTCGGCCGCCGCCGTTCTTGCTCTTGCTGAGCTCGCCACTGGCGAGATGGTCCTCGAAGGCCTCGATGGCCTGGTCGATGAGCTCCTGGTTGGGCGACGAGTCCCACCGGTGCCAGTAGCTCATGTAGCAGTCGAAGCAGTCGCAGTCGAAGCTGGGCGACGCCGCCGCAGCGGGCCCCCTCCGAGACGGCTGGGGCCTCTTCCTGCCGGGCCCGCCGGCGGCGGCGGGGGCCGCGGTGTCGAGGGACCGGGTGATCATGTAGGCGAGGACCTCGCGGTCCTCGAGGGAGAGGACGGAGGCGAGAGCGAGGATGGCCGCGGGCAGGAGCTTCATGACGGAGGGGACGTCCCTGGCGGCGCCGCTGCACGGAGGGTGCGAGGCGGCGGCGGCGGCGGAGGAGGAGGAGGAGGGAGATGGGTGGACTTTGCCCTTGTTCTTTATCTTCATCTCTGCTCCGGCGAGTGTGTCTGGGAGAGGGAGCGAGATTTTTTCGTTGGCGAAGGAGATGATGAAATGAGAGAGAGAGGGAGAGGTAGGAGCCGTCCTTTCTTTTTCAGGTTATAATAAAGGCGGGGACCGCCACCCGCCGAGGCGGTCTGGAGTCTCCACGCCCACGCTCATCGCTGGGCGCGTGCGCGCCACCTTAGATCGGCCATGAATGAGCCTTTGTTTAGCCACGTTGAGTTCCTCCGTGCTTACGTAAGGCCCATACGGTCGAGGCATCGAATGGGGATTTCGCTCCCCCAAACAAAAATTGTTTTTGCTTCCTGGGCTTTTGGTCGGTCCTGAATCGGGAAAGTTGTCCAAAAAATCTTAAAACTTAGTGCAATTTTGTGAAGACGAGACCGCCTTCACCGAAGCCGGCAAGGCCAGCCTCGCCCATGGCCACAATGGCACTGGTGAGCTCCGGTGACCCTCGCCGGGCAGTTTGCTAGCCACTGTGGGAAACAAAAAATTGAAAAGATGGAAGGAAAAAAAAAAGGGAAAAGAAAAATAAATAAGCAATTGAAAAAAATATTGAAAATTGTCCATGTCGGCGCCGGTCATGTCATGTAGGAAGACCGGCATTTACGTCAGTCATTTCCTGTCAAAATTAGCCAAATGGATTCAATTGGCAAAACTTTAAAAGGTTTAGTTTTTAATTGGTCATATTGAAAATTTTAAGACTGAATTGACAAAAGTACAATAAGTTTAAGATTTTTTGGACAATCTTCCTAATCTCAAGTCATATTGAAAATCCCAATTACTTTCGAACATATACAGGTTTGGGGCAAAGATTTTTTGGCCTGACGTGATTGTGACCTCCCAATGCTTGTCGTTGATCAAATCTAACTATAACTTCTAAATATATGCCTAAGGTAATTAATGTAGGCTTGATCAAATGGTTTGTTGAATGAGATATCGAGTTCGAAATCCGTCCTTCGAGTCCGTGATCAAAGCTTAATTGTAACGGCCCAAGATGAATGGGTTATTTGACTCATGTATGTCTTTGAGGTAATGAGACGGAACCCCCATAAATGCATCTTTCTTCTTTGACTTACTTTTTCAAGAGGAGTAAGGGTTTTAAAACATGCTCAATCAATTAACCTTTGGTTCGGCGACTTTCGTCAAGTAAGGAAATTAGATCTAGGACAAATCTGAATTGACTTTTGCTTCTTACATTTTACTTCTTACTTTATTTAAATCTTGCAGCTCACGCACTTTTAACATTTTTTTCAAACCCTAAACTTCTGAAAACTTCCACGACACTCAAATGGTGATATGCAGATTTACGTAGAATGATTTTCCAAAAATTGAATAACGGTGGAAAGGCAAAGAATTACTTTTACTTTATATTTTAGGTTAAACAACTAGGCTCTTAATTAAAAAGTTTCCTAAAGAATTGTTCCTACCTATAAATTGGATAGATAAAAGCCTACACATTATTATATGGCGGCAGGACACGCCACCAAGATGGCTAGTCATTAAGAGACTCTTTATAAAGGTCAGCATTATTCAGAATCAAATGGAAACAGCATTAATTGACATCATTAAACGATTCGACACATGCATCCGGAGTGCAACGAGATTGTCCCGTAAAATCTAACCCAACGTACATGTCGAGAGAGGGCGTGCAATGATCACTCGCATTATGCAGCTTTGAATAAAGGGCTTTAGTCGAACTTCAATGTGCCTTGGACTTTTGCTCTTGGAAGAAACAAGTACCGGTAATATGGTGGGCATAACTCGGGAAAAGTACCAAAAAAATTATAAATCTATTGCATTGGTATTGAATCAATTTAGTCATAAATCTTTTTCAATTCAGTCCATCTAGTCAATTTAAGCTGAAAATCGCTGATATGAACGCCGGCCGTCTGACGTGGCACAACCAGCGCTAACGTGAACATTTTAACAATATTTTTGTCGAATTTATTTTATAATTTTTTCTTTTATTTTCCCTTTTCTTTCCTGTTTTTTGTTCTTTCCTTTGCCAGTCACGAACCTCCACGATGACCGACCGGCGAGGGCGAGGGTGGGAACACCCTCGTCGACCCCTGGCGAGGGCCGGCAAGGGCTGGATGAGGCTGCCCCTCTCCAAATTCGATAGGGGACCTCGCCCAGGCGAGGTTGGCGAGGGCGTCCCGGCCTCTGGCTGGTGGCAGTCTCATCCAGCCCTCACTAGTCCTTGCCAAACCTCACCGGCGGCCTTCGGCAGTCACCATAGAGGCTGGCGACTAGCAGAGGGAAGAGAAAGGAAAGAAAATAAAATAAAAAGAAAAGGGAAAATAAAGTAAAAAATTATTTTAAAAAAATTATCAGCATCGGTGGTGCCACATAGGACGGCTGCGTCCACGTCAGTGACATCCGACCTAAATTGGTTGGATGGACTGAATTGGTACCGATGTGAAAATGTTTAGCACTAAATTGGTCAAATTGAAAGGTTTAAGATTGAATTGGTACCAATGTAAAAGGTTTAGGACTTTTTTGAAACTTTTCCCTGCATAGCTCCGAATCTACCTATTTTCATGAGCTTTGTCGAGTTTTGTTTGATTTTACTTCGTTTAAAGAGGATACGCCGCGTATTAAATTGTTCTTGGGTGTCTTGCAATAAATCATTAGCCCAAATTAAGGTATCAATACTAAAAAAAGAGTCATCTTTGTGCTGAGTTTTGTTCCCGGCATCTGTCCGCAACCTCCTCAACTAGCGCATCCGCGACGTCTCCTTTGACATCGTCGACACCTTCGAGTTCCTCACCCACGCCAAGCCTCGACCGCGGCTTCACACGGAGAGAGAGAGAGAGAGAGAGAGAGAGAGAGAGAGAGAGAGAGAGAGAGAGAGAGAGAGAGAGAGAGAGAGAGAGAGAGAGAGAGAGAGAGAGAGAGAGAGAGAGAGAGAGAGAGAGGTGTCCCGAGGCTAAATTGCCCTTGGCCATCACTTTGAAAATGACATGTGAGATGCACATGCTTGTCGGTCGGTGAAGATTTAAGCCACCAGTGAGTCCGGAGGTTGAATTGACACGAAGTCGTTAATTTCATGGGTTTTCTTTTTAATTTTTAAGACAAGCACTATTTTGAAGACTGTTTTGATAAAACGGGAAATTTATCAAAAAAGTCATAAACCTATTACACTTGTACCAATTCAGTCATAAATATTTTAATTTGGTTAATTTAGTCCTAAATCTTTTGACGATTTGTCAATATAGTCATTTCGATCAATTTTGGCTGGAAATCACTAATATTGACACTGGCAATGCCATGTAGAATAGTTGGCGTTGACGTTGGTAAATTTTATTTTTTTCTTTTTTCTTTTTCTTTCTTTCTTTTCCTTACCAAGTATGGTGAGGGTCGCTGCACAGGCAAGGGTCAGCGACCCTCACCGACCACTAGGCGAGGGCTTCGCAGCCCTCACTTGTCGTGGGAAGGGGTCTCAGCCCCGCCCAAATAGCCACTAGGCGAGGGCCATGACCCTCGCTCCTTGCCAGGCTTAAAAAGAAAAAAAAAGGAAAAGAAAGAAAAAATAAAAATAAAAAATTTATAAAAAATTTAGAAAACTTTAATAAAATTATAAAAGATTATCCACGTCAGTGCCGACCGTGCTACATAGGACAGCTTGTTTCCACGTCAATGATTTCCGGTCAAAATTGGCAGAAAGGATTTCATCGGCAAACCGTCAAAAGGTTTAAGACTAAAATGACCAAATTAAAATATTTAAGACTGAATTGGCACAAGTACAATAGGTTTAAGACTTTTTTGGTAATTTTCCCTAATAAAACGGCTCCATTTCATTGGGCTTTTTGAAATTTTACCCTTCTTGTATGGCATGGTAAAAGACATCTGTTTGGTTTTTTACTAAATTATTTGTCTAGCAAAATTATACATGATTCTTCCCTTGCCTTTTCACTCCAAAGGGGCATGTTGTTATTCGAGATTTCTGTTGTAATCCTCAGTCTTGCTTCTTCCAAGGTTTGGGCCGTTGTTTTGGATCTTCGCTGGATCTTTCGCGTTCCTGGTGATATAAGTAGTGAATCTTCTCAATCCGCTACACCATGAGTATCAACATAAGTTAGGATTTTACTACATTCAAACATAAAGTTGGATTACACAGCATGCAATTTGCTTGACTCGAGAACTTAAGAATATGCATATTAGGTCCACTCATAGTGATATATCTATTTTTATGCATTTATCACCGATTTCTTTACACATATAGAGATCCTGTCTATACATAATGACTCACTAAGTGATCTAGCTATCTATATATGTCAAAAATATATGGTGCCTGTACAAAAACCAATTTGCTCAAGCTATTGTACGTGTATTGTCCACAAATTTTACATTTTTTTGATAGGTCATTAAGACCAAATTTCATCGGAATGGGCTCATAAACTCCGAATGAATGAAATCCATTCATAACAAGAATGAAAGGAGCATAATGGGCGAAAAATCGAACTAATCAGGAAACGAAATGTATCAATAAATTAAGGACAAGGCAAACGATGATGCTTGTAAATGAAATAAGGAGGAGATGGCAATAAGCTAATAGATCAGTCTATTATACATTCATAAGCCAATTTCACAGTTCGTTTTGCTGTAAATTTTTTGCTATTCATTGGAATAGCTGTCGCAGAATATGACGAACAAAGGACAAGATGTCAAGTTCAAGGTTAACATGCACTGTGAGGGATGCGCCGATACTGTTCGTAATTGCCTCAGAGGTTTCGATGGTACATCAACATTTCAATTTTCCATTCATTCCTTTTCATTTGGTGTTTGAAACATAGTTTGTCTAGGGTAGCCATTCAATTGCAGAAGATGAAGACATCCCAAGTCATTTCCCATGTTGTTGTGTTCATTGCGTTCTCTCATTTCAGAAAAGGCAAGGGATAAGAAATTTGGACATATTTTCATTGACCGTCGAGCATTATTTCCGTTTGTACATAACAGTCGACTTTTGCTATTTTTCTCGTCGGGAAAAAGAAAAACTAATTTTCACGTTATGAAAATCAGGTGTCGAAGAAACTGTCACGAATAGGGAGAAACACGAGGTGATTGTCAAGGGCGAAAATGTGGATATTGTGAAGGTATTGGAGAGGTTGAGGAAGAAATATAACAAAAATGCTGAGCTCATAAGCCCAGAACTGCCAAAGACCAAGAAAGAAGAAATGAAGAAGACAGAGGTTTTATGTATTATAACCTTGGCAAGATCGATGTTCCATTCTAGGGTTAATGATAGTGAACAACAATAGTTTTCTTTGATTGCAGATTCCAGTCAAAACAGTTGTGCTCAAGATTTTCATGCACTGCGAGGGTTGTGTGCGTGATATCAAGAAGACCATCTACCAAATGGAAGGTAATTTTTTTCTCGTTAATCATACAAGAGATTCCTAATATACACTTTCGTGTGCCCTATGTTGCTCTATCAGGTGTCCTATCTGTGAAACCGGACATGGCCGGAGGAACGGTGACTGTCAAGGGGGCCGTCGAGCCGCCGAAGCTCGTGGAGTACATCAAGAAACAAATGGGGAAGCACGCGGAGATCGTGAAGGAGGAAGTGAAGAAGGATAAGAAAGTCGAGGAGAAGAAGAAAGGCGAAGCGAAGAAGGATAAGAAAGGCGAGGAGAAGAAACGGGAAGCGAACGAGGACGGTGGCCATTTGATTTACTGGGTTCACTGTCCTTCTCGGTGCCCTCAGTGCTGCTGCATGAATCACCTCTGTTGTTGCTGCGAGAATGCTTTCAGCGACGAGGATGTCCATTCTTGTTCCGTCATGTAAGGTGGGATTCCTTCTTTTTTAGCTGCTTCACTGCCACATAAATGAACAAATATAATTGTCATATCGTATCCTGTCGTTCCTTTTTAAGTTTTATTGTTCTGGACACGATGAAAAAAATAGAGTAAATGTGAGCTGAATATGGTCTGGGGAGCTCTTCTCCTCCCTCGCATAGATGATTCGGTTTGCACGTATCCAATTTCACGATGACTGTTGTCAGATAAGGTACGGATTCACATGAAATTTACATGAATCTTATCCGATCCGACTCATGAACTCAATATTGTCTTGGGAGCTATTCTCTTCCCTCGTGTAGATGATTCGATTTATATGTATCCAATTCACGATAACCGATGTCAAATAAGGTAATGATTCACATGTAATTTACGCGAATTTGAACCGATCCATTGTTAGAGAAAGGGACAATAAACCTATATAGTTTTGTTACTGTGGAATTACCAATTAATAGGCATGAACCCGTGCATTATGTGCGAGAATAAATGATAAAAAGAAATAAGCATTGTAAAAGATTTGTGTGGTCATTTGCTCTTTAATATAAAGAAACATTGTTAGAGAAAATTTGAGCAGTCAAATGTACTAAATTGTAATAAAAGGCAAATTATCAAAGTGAAGAGATCATAACCACAATGTTCCATGGTGATTAGTAAATATATGCTTATGTGGCGCTTAGGTGGAGTAATTTTTGTGGAGAATGTAACAAATCCAATGTTTGCAATATGTAGGTTTTTTTTCCTAATGATGTAGAATTTTATGTGTTATCGTGATAAATCATTGTAGGGATAATGACACAAACAATCCCTGAACTTTGACCCATTGTACAATTTGGTCCATGAACTTTTAATTTGTTCAATATATTCCCTTAACTTTTGGTACATGTTCTATATGAAATGTTCAATGTAGTCCATGAACTTAAATTAATGGAAGAACCACACTGAACATTTTCATGTTCTTTGATTGCAGATTCCAGTCAAAACAGTCAAAACATTTGCTTCAAAGAACCACACTGAACATTTTCACCGGCACTAATGTGGATAATTTTTAATAAAATTTTAATATTTTTTCGATTTTTTATTATTTTGATGATTTTTTTTTCCTTTTTCATTTTTGGCTTTCTTCCTCCCATGGCCGGTGACCAGCCACCGGCCATGGTTGGGCAGGCTAACCTCGCCCAAGGTTGGCCTCGCCCGGCTAGGTGATGCTCGGCGCGGCCTGGGCGAGCCCCGGCGAGGGCTCCCCTCGCCAGATCTGGCGAGGGGAGCCTCCGTCGGGGCTCACCCTCACCCAGGCGAGGGTTGGCTGGGCGACACTCGACGAGGCCGCCATGGCCTGGGCGATGGCCGGCCTTGCCAGATCTGGCTTAGGCTAGGCCGACCCTCGCCGGGCCTTGCCTGGGCGAAGCTCCCTTCATCGGGACGCCCTCACCGAGGCAAGGGTCAATCGGGCCTCACCTAGGCAAGGCTAGCCAACTTGACATGGCCGGGGTGGCCAATCACCGAAAAAAGGTTGAAGAAAGAAGAAAGAAAAAGAAAAGAAGGAAAAAAGAAAAAAATTAGAAAAATAATTAAAAAATCGAAAAAAATATTAAAATTTTATTAAAAACCGTCCATATCAACGCCGGCAGCACCACGTAGGCTGCTCGGCATCCACATCACCAAAATCTGGCCAAAATTAGCCGAAATGACTGAATTGGCACAAAAACAAAAGATTTAGAACTCAGTTGGCACAAAAAAAAGATTTAGGACTAAATTGGCATAAATATAAAAGGTTTAAGACTTTTTAAACACTTTTCCCACTAGAATTGTTATTTCTCCTTCGCTTCCATAATTTTGAAAAGTGAACGAAGACCAGCAAAATACATTTCATCACTTCTGTACTATATAAATCGCTACTCTCTTACAAACATATTTCTATTATCAATAAATAGTGATAAAAAATTAATTTGCGCGTACACACCAGTGTTACCTCTAGTCAATTTTTCTTTATTCTCTATCAAATGAAACTATAAGACTCCGTTTATTTTGCAGAAAACATTTTCCTTATTTCCCGACGTTTGGATCGATTAGAAAAATAAGTCAATAGAAAATCTATACTTAATTTGGGAAAATGATTTTTGATTTTTTTAAATCATTTTCCAAAATATAACTAGATATCTACGCTTGGACCCAGAACTCCATACTTGGGCATGGGAAGACAAACACTCATTCCTGAGTCCCCAGCGTTTAGGACTGGGTCCCCGGTGCCCGGGCACGAGTTCATTGAGGACGAGCTCGAGATCCTGATGCCCATGCCATTGAGGCCAAGCCCAAGACCCCAATGCCAATGCCTGAGTCCCTGGCGCTTGGGCCCGTATCCATCAATGCAAGCCCGAGTCCTAGCAACCACACCTGTCTCTAGGTTCCCAGGCCCGAGTGTTGAGGATATGGGCGTGAGCCTGAGCACTACAGTCCTAAGTTCAAGCACCAAGGACCCAAAAATGAGAACTGGGTCCTCAGGCCCTACCTCGATAGACCCGAACTCAGGTTGGAGATTCGGGCATGGGCACAAGCATCCCAAGCCCAGCCTTGATGGACCAGGGCTCAAGTGTCTAGGATCCGAGCCTTAATGCTAGGGTCTCGAGTCACCGAGGTCCCTAGCCTAGGCATCGGAGTCCCACACTCAACCTTTGTAGACTTAGGCCCGAGTGCCGGGGATTTAGGTATAGGTATTAGGGCCTCAGGTTCGGTCACTGTGGACCCGAGTCGGGTGCTAGAAAACCATGCACAGGCACCAGGTTCTCAGACCCGAGACCGGTGCCTGTGCCTTCGCTCGAGACCAAGGTGCCCATTCTCGGGTTGGGGCCCATCAAGGCTGGACTTGGGATCCCAGTGTTTGTGCCTGGTTCCCCGGCTGAGGACCTCATACAACTGGAAAACGAACTCCCACTACAACTAACTAGTACGACCTCAGTCAACAATTTAAAGGACTAAATCTTAAACACACCCACAAGCGTGGAGAGAGGGGCTCGGGGATGATAGCCTTGCAAGGCTCAGACAGAAGCTGTGCTGACGGTGGTAGCGCGATGGTGAGGCGGCCGCGGCGGGTCAGCGAAGAGATGGAGGAGATGAGTGTTTTGTTGGGTTATCTTCTTTTTGCTTTTTTTGGAGTGCGGGAGGTCTTTGCAATTATTTTCAGGGTAAGGTATAGTATTGGTCATTAAGGGCGCGCATGGAATCCATTCTGAAGCAAAAATTCTGCTCCAGAATGCATTCTGGAATAGAAATGCGTTTGTTAAAAAATTTCCGGAATGCATTCTGGAGCAATTTTTGCATTCTGGAATAAAAATGCGTTTGTTAAAAATACTTGATTCCAGAATGCATTCTTGATTCCAAAATACATTCTTGATTCAAGAATAAGTTTTGGGCAAGAAAAAGAGAAGCTACTTTTTGTAGCTTCTTTCTTCCAGAATGGATTCTCCCTCTTTTCTCTCTTTTTCGTGGCCTTTACAACACATTTTGAGATCTCACTAAATTTTTTTCAAAAAATGCATAAAAATTGAAAAATTCCAGAAAAATTCATAAAAATTTCCAGAAAATAAAAAAAAGTCAGATTTCGGGAAAATAGGAAATTTGGTGAATTTTTTTCTAAAAAAATAAAAAATTTTGAAACTTCACAGAATGGCTTAGAAGCCACCATTGAGTGAAATTTAAATTTTTTTAGGTGTCCAAAAAAATCAAAAAATCAAAAATTTCAAAACTTCACAGAATGAATTAAAATACTTGTGGCCACCCACTTTGAGTGAAATTTAAATTTTTTGAGGTGCCCAAAAAAAAATCAAAAATTTCAAAACTTCATAGAATGGCTTAAGAATACATGTGGCCACCCATTTTGAGTGAAATTTAATTTTTTTGAGGTGCCCAAAAAAATCAAAAATTTCAAAACTTCACAAAATGGCTTAGAATACCTTTGGCCACTCACTTTGAGTGAAATTTAAATTTTTTGAGGTGCCCAAAAAAATCAAAAAATAAAAAATTTTAAAACTTCATAGAATGGCTTAGAATATCTGTGGCCACTCACTTTGAGTGAAATTTAAATTTTTTTAGGTGCAAAAAAAATCAACAAAACAAAATAGATTTCTGTTCCAGAAATCAATTTCTAGAGCAGAATTAGTTATGTTTTATCAAACAGAGTTCTCCTTCAGAAATCAATTTCTGGCAAGAATTTCAGAAATCAATTTCTGGCAAGAATTTGATTTCTAGAGCAGAATGGTTACCATTCGCGCCCTAAGAAACCCGTAAATGCTTGGCACGGCCCATTCTTGAAATACCGAAATCAAGATAACTCAATAGAATCGTATCAGCCTACTCCTATTAGCAGCATCAAAACTAGATGCACCCACTCAATGATTTGTCACTAAATAGTGCGAAAATCGAATCTCTAGAGGCAACTCAATAATTCTACTTTTCCCTGTTGAGAGTAAAGGTCCGAAAACAAGTGGGGCCGCAGCCCAAGAGCGAGACAGCCTGGAGTTGACACCGTGGCCCATGGGGGGCACAACCATAATTTCGGAGGAGCGAAAACCCTAATCCTCCGTGAATATAAGAACGGAGCAAAACCTCTCTCATGACCTTCTTCTTCCTCTGTTCTTTTTTCTCTGTTTTCTGTCTTTGTGTGTCCGTGTATGTGGTGATGATGGAGGGCTTTCAGATGAATTTTTACAAAGTATAAAGAAAGGGCTACGGTGATGAAGAGTTCTATTGATCTGGTTCTTGTGTAGTTTCTTTTCTTCATTATTTTGCCCTTTCACATGGTATCAGAGCCTTTCTCTGAAAGCTATTAAACACACACATGGCAGCGAGAGTTCCAAAGTTTCCATTTCCCATTCATGTAAATATTTGCAACTTCGTTACAATCAAGCTTGCTGAGGATAAATTCCTTCTTTGGCAAGCACAATTTCATAGATTTCTCAGAAGTCAAGAGCTCATTGGGTTTATTAACGGTGAAAT